CGGGGCCGCTTTCTCGGCCGACTGTCCCCGCAGGCCTCGCTCGCTGCACGGGTACCTCCACCCCTGAGGAGCTCCCGGTACCGGCCTCCCTGCACGGGAGTGCTGCGAGGCTGTGGCCAATGCCTGCCGGCCCAGGCTGCCCGGATCACCGCTGGTGTGCCGTGTGCTGTTAGCTTAGGGCGTCCAGCTCTGCCCTTAAATCCTCTAAAAACACGTAGCAGGGTCTTGTAGGTTTTAATTTTTTCCTTAGCTTGCTAGTGGTAGGGGAAGTATGCGGCTTGAGAGGGGCTCTTCTGAGAAAGAAACCAGTTGCTGTTCAAACACCAAAGGTTGAGATGAGAAACCAAGTTTTGAGTTCTACAGTTAATAGCAGATGATCTGAGTAAACCCGAAGATCTCACTTTGCGGGACAGAGGTTGCTCTCTTTCCTGTGTGAGGGGGGTGTTAAGTGAGAATATCGACACATGAGGCTGAGGGAAATCCAGAGGTTTTGCTGGGTTGCCAGGAAGCCAGGCGTGGCTGCCAGGTGAAGGACATGGTCCCAATGCTGCAGGCTCACAGCTGTGTGCTGCTTGGGTCTGTTCAAGATGCACGTAGAAATGGAAGAGAGGTGAAAAATAAATGGGCGGATTTGGGTGAACACAATCTTAATGGGGCTTAAATACTGTAGTACAGAGAAAGCAGTAGTAGCTGCAGCCGTCTACATGAAGCACATGACTGTATAGCTCTTCATTTATTTTTCCCTAGAGCAGCTCTGCAAAAGGTGGATTTCTGTACGAACTCAGATAATACAGTTTTGTCATGTTTGAAACCCCACATTTTCAGTTTCTGCAAGTGCAACAGCAGTCTTTAAAAATCTTGAGTGTTTTAAATGAAAACCTGACTGACTACTCTTCACTGCCTTATGCTAAAAATGAGAAAAAATAGTTTAATATTGAAGATTATTATTATTCCCTTCAATACTCATGCAAGTCTTGTGACAAAATAGTATTGTATTATATAGGAGGTGGTTCCTAGAAGGGAGTCAGAGACTTTGAATGAAAGAAGCAGTATAGAAATAAAACTGCAAAAGCATTCCAGGAGAGCTTAGGGAGCAGAGTATCAACATGTGCTGGTTATCTTGATCTAAAAGTCTCTCTGAATCAAAACCAAACCTGTAGATTCAGATTGTCTTAACTGCTCAAAGTTTCAGAAATGAGGTGATTTAAGTCAAAATGCATGTTCAGAGTTGAATTTTGACTGGCAGGAATTAATTCTGCAAACAGACACTGGAAAAACTTCAGCTTTCAGTTTGACTTTGGTATGTTGGTTTTTTGGCTCTTGCACACTGGTTATCTGTTCACATTTACTGTAAATAATGACTAGAAACCTAACCTGTATCTATACTGTTGAAGTAACTTCTGGAAGGGTTTGTTTCGTTCTCTTTCCCCCACCCCTTTTAGACTTTTTTTGTCTTATGGGATTTGTTTGCAATCTGTTAGCTGAAGTTCTGAGGGGAGTTTGGCAGATCTGGGGCTGCATCATCGTTCAGCACATCTGGAAGTGGTTTATGGGCTCTCATTCCGCTAGTGCGGCGTCTGGGCTCTGTGCTATTCCTCAGCAGCAGAGAAAGAAAAGAAAACCAGCACAACTCCAAAGTAAACTTTGAAGAGTTTGAAAAAGGAATTGAATGCTAAAACTGTTACTGTGCCCTGTAAGGCCCTTGTGCAGGGGACTTCAAAGGAGGATGATGGTCAAGGAAGCTGTGGTGAGAGAGCTTACAGCTGTGGGCTGTCTAGGATCCGAGTAAATAGCTCTACAGCTCTTCAGGAGAGAGGAGTCCCGAATACTGTGCTGCTTTGAAGAGGTAAAAAGACTAATTAAGCAGGAAATGTCTGAGCAGTAATGTCACTGTTTCTGAGCTTTCCCTCCTGTAGCCCCTTGTTTTGTTACAGGATTTGGCAACTGAGTTAGGCACTGCCAGGTTCCAGGAACAAATGTCTACAGTAAGGAAAAACAGTAAATGTTTGCAGGGTAACAAATGTTCCTCTCTTTCCTTAGAAATCAGTGGGTAATCAATCTGAGTTTTTAAGGCTTAGGCATGCTGTAGTTTGAGAACTCAAACTTGTATGAGATTATGTCTTGAGTTTGGATTTTAAAATTTAAAACATGGTTCAGTTTGTGTGGATTTAATAATTTCTGAAGGTATCATGGGGCTGTGGCTAGCCAACTTTCATCTTAAAGCGATCATCAGTATTGTTTGTGACTATCCTTACAAATATGAATTGATTAAAAGATGGGAGCCAGCTCTATGGAAAAGATTGCTATTAGCTAAAATGGGGTTAGAAAGTTCCTCCAGGAGTGTAGGGGGTCCTGCCTTCTCTCTGCTTATTGAAACAAGCAAACTTCTTAAATGGAGCAGAGGACAACCCTTGTGTGTAATGCATGAGAGAAGAGCTTTCTTAGCAGTGGGTTTTTTTCTGACTGATAAGCTTGATTTCCTCTCTGTAAATTAATGCCACATGAAGAGAGTGGGCTGCTGAAATGTAGATGAGTACTGCAGATGCAAAAGGACTTTCAGAAGTATTCCTCTCTCCACTACAATTTAGTCATCTGTTAGGACCTAAATACATGCAAATTTACAAAGCTTGTAAATAAAGCTATGTCCTATCTTTTTTAAAATGTTTTTGTTGTTATTTTACTTGTTAGTCAAAGTAGTGACTAATTTTGGATGCTGCCTGAACTTGGGCATTAACCAATGAGAAGCAGTAAGTTTTGTGACTTAGGTCTCAAGAATTCTTGCTGTTCCGTCTGCTTAAGGAATTTGCATACATTTCATTTTTATGTGTGCATAGAAACCTTTGTATATCCTTGTCTAGGCTGTAATGTGTCTCTGTATGCATGGAAACAGGGAAAATTGGCTTCTGTCCTACGTACAGCTGCTGTAGCATGAAGGTTAGAGCATATAGTTTCATTTTTTCCCCCACCCTGCACCAACTTCTAATGCTGTTTTGTACTGTGTTTTTGGCGTTGTTTGTTTTGTTTTGTGTTGTTTGTTTGTTTTTCTTCATAAACAGTAGTTTTGGGTGCAGGAATCAAGTTAACGTTCCCATAATTCTGGATTTTAGGGATTATGTTCTATCCTCTCAGGCATAAAGTCGTGGCCACTCTTGGGCTTGGTTTAGAAGTGCAGTTTTAGGGAGGGCTACCTCATTTTCTTCAGCATCACCAATAATATGCTTAAATACAAGCCCCATTGTACAAACTGCCCTCTGTTAGTGCAAGGATAGTGCTTTTAGGAAATATTTTCACTATCACTCTGAAACTTTCTGAGAGTGAAAGACACTGCTGCAGGATAAGATTCCCATGTGTTTGGGAGCATATTCTACCATGAGATTAGTATTTGTGAGTGTGATTATTGTTTAGGTGACATCAGAGATAAATGTAAATGTATTTACAAATTGCTTCAGTTGCTGTTTCCATGCTTCTTTGCACCTTTTGCTTTCTAATGTGCTAAACAATTTTAGTTATTACTGCTGCAGGTGATTGGATGATACTTATTAAAATGCTGTTCTTTTCGCCCTCTTAGTAGCTTAAATCACAATATGTCATGATTCTGTCCCAGAATTTTAGATATTTATTGTAAAAAAGTTGTTTACAAAGGTAGAGTTCAGTTTTATGATGAACAGGTCAACAGTAAAATTTGATGATGCAAAACCCTGTCCCTGAAATATCTAATTAGTATTCACTGCTGATACTAATGACTTTCCTAGCTCTCTTTTAAAAAAAAAAAAAAATAATATTTTATTTCACCACAGGTCACAGTTCTCATCCAGCAAGACACATGGCTCTTTTAAAGAAAAGTAAGAGAGATTAAAAACATTTGAAATATGTATTTTTTTTAAAAAAGAGGACGGATATGTCAAATGCAATTTCTTATGCAACTGTTCTCACAGTTGCATGCAAATTTATAGTTCTAGTTTTGCTAAATTATGCTTAACTTTAAGTATACAAATTAGCCTTTTCCTGCTAACTAAGTTATGTACGTATGGCCATAAATCCCATTAATTTAAAATTAGTCACTGCTGTACTAGATGAGACTGGGGGAGTCTGGAATTTCCCACTAAGAGTGCAGGGAGCTGCTGGTTTCATGTGGGTTGTGGCTAGAGCACCAAACCTGTCTTTTTTACAGAACTCTGCACATGAATGGTGTTCATACTTGAAACTGAGTTGTGGCCCCAGGAAATCTGGCATTCTCATCACCTATCAGGGTCAGTGACTGAAAATGGGCTGGTCTGTGCCTTCAGTTATGCCCCCAAAATTTATCTGAAGTCAGTGGGCTTTTTCCTCAGGTGGTTTTAATTAGTGCAGGTTTGGTAGTGTATGTTGACCAGTTTCAATTTATTCTCATGCCCAGTTGTGGCCAGTTGGCCCTTTTGATTGAAATAGTTCTGATAGTTTGTTCCCTTTGCTCTTCTGTACACCTTAAATACCTTTTACGGTGGTGCAAAATGTGCCAGGGGAGGTTTTGATTGGATATTAGGAAGAATTTCTTTACTGAAAAAATGGGTAGGCACTGGAACAGGCTGCCCAGGGAGGTGGTGGAGTCACCATCCCTGGAGGTGTTCAAAAAATGAGTAGATGTGGCACCTGGGGACATGGTTTAATAGTCATGGCAGTGTTGGGTGGTGGTTGGACTTGATCTTAGAGGTCTTTTCCAACAAAGCAACAGAGTAGTCTGATCCAAAGGACTCCCATCATCAAAGCCACTGTAGAGGATGGGAATGTGTTCCTTCTCTCCTGTACTTGGGGAGCTGCCCTGATGCCTGCTCGTGGTTGGCTTATGTTGAATAACTTAATCCTGTACAAGGCAGTCTGGTAGGGGCTGCAAAACAGAATGTACAGTAAAGTCTTTGCTGTTGTGTACTTTGTTCTGATTTTACTAGTTAAAGTAACCGTGTCAAAATCTTTATGTATCTTCAGGTATTTTGGAAGATTTCTGGTTTCAGTAGCATACTGCATTTGGGGTTTTTTTTAGTATTTTTGGAGTTTTGTTCAAACATACCTTGAAGATCTGAACATCAGTGAAATAGGAAAAAAAAAATTCTTGTGTGTTTGAAGTTTTGTCAGAGAAGTGTGAGAGAAGGAAAGGGCTAGGTAAAAATTATTAATTAATGAAAACCTGTGATGATAAACAGGTAACAAACTAGCCAGGAAAAGGAAGTTCCAGGCTCCTGGTAAAATCCAGAAATGTGAATTTCCTAGTATAGATAACCAGTATATATTGGGAGCTTAGTGATTTAGTGAGCAAATTATCCATGAAAATCTGGTAATTGGAAATGTATGTAACGGGGGAGAAATACTGTTATGTTTCTAAGATAAAATTTTTAGCTTTATCAAATAACAAGAGCAAGGAGAATTTGATAAACACATCAAATACAGGTTATGACAAATACTGGTTGCAAATTGGATTATTTTTTTTTAAAAAAAAGGTACTCGGGAGTTAGCTGTTGTACTGATTGTTAACAAATTCTCCCTTTTTTTTCAGTTAACCAGATCTTACTGTTGCTTCTTGTCTTAACTGTGTGCGCCATTCTGTATAACAAAGTTCACCAAGTGCCATCTACATTAAAGAGTGAAACAGGTAAATGAATTTTACTTGGTTTCATTTATGTTCTTTTTTTTATATTCCTTACCTCTGCTTGATCAGTGCTTATTACTGAGTCTCGCTTGCCCTGCAGTAGGTGAGCTATTTGTGTTGTTGCGTATGGTCTGGAATGTGGAATTTTTTCTTCTGAATTGCTTGAATTAAACAATAGATTGACAGTAATGACTAAGCATTGTCATTCTGATTTAAATTTTCATCCAGATGTCACTGGTGTAGATGGAAGCTGGGGTATATCCTTATTTGTGCTGAATGGTACTGTAGTTGTTAAGTGATAGTAAACTTTGATGGAACCTGCCCCTTTGGGAATGTTCTTGGCCTACCTACTCATTTCAGAGCATCAAATCTTGTTGTAATTTGCAGCAGAAGTTTTTGCTGGAATTTTTATAGTGACAGAAACCTTCTAGGGTTGATGTGGTTGGGCTGGTGTTAAATGTTTATGCTAATACCTTATTCACTGTTCCTGAGATATACAAACTGTGTCTTGGTGCAAAGCATGTTTTTTTAGTATACTTCTGATGAGGCTGTTATGTTTTGACCAACACAAATATATCTATAGAAGTTCTGTCAATTAAACGGTGCTAGTAGTACAAATCTTCCTTGGCAGCAGCGTGAACTGATGCAGGACAGCAACGTGAACTGATTCAGTGTCGTTTAGATATTTTTTATAATTAGCAACTTCCTGCTGGTACAAAGTTTTACTCTTGCTTTTTAGCCTGCTTCCCAAAGAAGTGAAGCTCATGCAATTGCATCATCTCTTCTGCTTACCTCCTTCCTTTGATAATTTTGAAACCTGCTGTTCCATCTGTACTAAATATAACCGAGAAGTGTAAGTCTCAAAAGTACTCAAACTTCTTCAGATTTCATATGAATAAGCAGCTCATGGAGGCCAGGCTGAATAGTGCCCCTGCTGAGGAAGAAATGCTGAGACCTCTGTTGTGTGTTCAGTTTGGAGGCATCCAACAGTCCAATCAACCTGCATGTAGTTCTGGATTCGTGACAGCTCATGCTGTGTGCATTGCCACATGGGGATGTGTGTAGGATGTGGTAAGGAAACTGGGTGACTGTGATGTGATTCCACTGCTTTGGGGACTACATACTCATTCCTGTGATGCAGATCTGAGGAAAAGATCCTTAATTTTCTATTATAATGCATAGTTTTGTTCATTGTAGTTGATTTGGAGAGTCCAGAGGAAATGGATGAAGAAATTCCAGTCGTGATCTGCGCTGCTGCGGGCAGAATGGGTGCAGCTATAGCAGCTATCAGTAGCATCTACAGCAACACGGAGGCTAACGTTTTGTTCTACCTAGTTGGGCTGAAGACTACCATCCCACATATTCGGTATTTACCAGCCTTATTCTCTTCTGTGCTGTAGTTAGGACCAAGTTGTTGTTCTCCTTAGCGTGGGCATAGACTTTGAAGGACTTTTCAGAGAAATGTTTCTCCCTTTTATATAAGTGGAGCTATTGGTAGCAGTGCCCAGGATTCTCTACGTGTAGGAAAAGGGACTGTTTTATCCTACACCAGGTACAGACTGATGTAAAGGGGTGTGAAATAGCCCAACCACGCCCATACCTGTGCCTCTCTGCCTTTTGCAGGTGGGCTGCAGGAGGGTCTGTAGCAAGGTGAGTATATACATTTTCCCTTGTCACAACCCCACTTTGTGGCACTGCACTTACCTCTCATCTGGTGCTGTGTCTTAAACTTCAGTGTAGAAACACTTGTTAAAGCTAGTTTCAGCTAAAGGGTGTATTAAAGGTTACAAATAGAGTCCCAAAAGAGCTTGTCATGAAAACGTTTGGGTATTAAAATTTGCAACCATTGTCTAGAAGAGGAGAAAGATGTGAATCAAAATTGAAGCCAACTTCTTAGGAGTTCTCACCCCTGGCTGCTGCACTTCTGGAGCCTCTGGGCTTGCAATCTGTGTCCACGTGAGAAGACGTAATCTGTGGGGTTCCACAGTGAGTTCACCCATCCTGTTCATCAGTAACCCAGATATCAGAGTGGAGAATGTTCTTTGTAAATCTGCAGTTGGCATGAAACTGGGAAAGAGACAGCAGTTATGTTGAGGACAAGAGCTGAAAACAAACTAATCATGGTTAATTGGGAAAATGAGCTGTAAAATGTGATAAAATCCAGCAGAGGTAATGACAAGGTGAAATAGGTGGGAATAGCTGATCACATTGGCTCAGGGTGAAGCAGGAGTTCAGTAGCACTCGTTTGGAAAACTACAGAATTATGACTAATAACTGACCACATTGACTAAACAAAAGCTGTGCATCATAGTAGATACATGCTGATAGATACGACCACAAGAGATGTGAGGAAAATTCTGATCCTTCTGAAATTATTAATGCATCAGAAAAAGTTTGTTGTTTAGTTTTAAGTGCCTTTGGGAAGGATTTGGAAGAGTGGTCAGAGTAGAAAATGAGCAATGGTGTAAAGAAATCTGACAAAATAATGAAAAAAAAAAATAGTCTAAAGGAATTGTAGTCAAGAGGTGATGTGGCAGTCATCTTGAAGGATGTAAAACTAAAAGGGAGAAAACTAACCTCTGCTTTAAAAGCACAGTAGATAGGATTAAGAAAAAAGTCTTTAACTATTTTAACTATAGTAAGAAAGCCTAGAAATATAGCATTTCATGTTAGCAATGGTGAAAGATGGGGTATTTGGGCAACATGTGGAGTCTCTGTCTCTGGCAGTGGTGTGGGCTGTTTGCTTTGGTGGGTTTTTTGGGTGTTGTTTTTTGTGTGATTGTGTTCTTGTTGTTTTTCTTTTATGACTTATTTTTTATCACAGAAAATGGATTGAAAATTCTAAACTAAAAGAAATAAAATTTAAGGTGGTGGAATTCAACCCTATGGTACTAAAAGGAAAAATCAGACAAGATGCATCACGTCCTGAGCTACTGCAGCCTGTGAGTAAATGAAAACTGCGTAACAAATTTTTAGGGTTTCTAATGCTTATTACAAGCTTTAAAATGTCATAGATGTCTGTTGCACTGCACAGGGCGGGTGTAAGCTAGAGAAGCCACATCAGGTCCACTAGACCTTTACTCAAGAAGTAAAAGTACAACAAGCTCCTTGCAACTTGTTTGTCTTGCTGGGACCTCCTTATTTGGTGGCATGAACTCGGTAATTTGAATGTGTCATATCTTTAAGAATACATTCATGGTTTATTAGAGGGAAGGTATGATAGTGTTCTCTGTGCACTCATGATGCTGAGTTGGCTGCATTCTGCTCATGTTCAGGGTTAATTCAGAGGCTAATGACAAGACTAAATATTACTGTCTGTCAGTAAAGGCAAATCAGATTTTAGAAATTATTAGCAAAGGGGTAAGGATCAAAGTAGAGAACATTCCACCACAGTACAAATCCATAGTTTTCTCTTATACTAAATACTGTGTCCAATCTTCATCCCCTTATCTGGAAAAGACGTAGCACCACTGGAAAATTCAGCTCTGTGCAGAATGTTTATTCTTGTTGCCCTTTTGAGCCTTTGACATTTCTAATATATGGGAAATATTTCATGCAAGGAATCAGTGGGTTAAAACTGTTCAGCCTGGAAATGTGACTTCTAGTGTGAAAATAGTAGAAGTCTAGATAACTGAGTGGCTTGGAAGGCTGGGTGGGGATGGTTCTCACTCTCTTCCAATGCAAGAACTAGTGGTCACTAGGTTAAATTAGTAGGAGTCACAGTCAGAACAAACACAAACTGTTGCATGTTTTTCATGCAGTGAGTACTGAACCTCTTGAATTCCTTGTTGAAATGTGAATGTAAAAATTTACAGGGATTCAGTGGGGGCTGAGGTTTATATTTAGACAGATTGTATCTGGTCCAGGAAATTCTTTGAGCTGAAAATAGCTGAAAGCTCGGAGAATAGTTGGAGCAGCTTTTCTGTATGCTTGCTCTGTTCTTCTCTTTCATGGAGCATCTGCTTAGGACCACTCTGAAGGCAGGTGCTAGGTAAAATGGTCTGAATCAGTGTGGTTGTTCTTATTTTCTCAGTCCAGTCTGCCTCTGCTGTGTTCTTCATTGCTGTTGTAGAAGTCATTACCTCATGTCTGTGCCACCAGTCAAATAATTCCTGTAGAGTGGAACAATGATGCTATTAAAATTGAGGTGTTTTGCATGATGTATGCTGTAAAAGTGCATTAGGAGGAGCTTTGCCAGCAGGTCTGGGAAGGTGATCCCCTTCTTCACTGGGAAGGCTGCCTTTTGGGTACTGTGTGCAGTTCTGAGCTCCCCTACACAAGAGAGGTACAGACTTAACCGGGGCGAGTCCAACACGTGGCTGCAAAGGTGATAATGGGACTGGAGCTTCTTTTACATGTGGAGAGGCTGGGAGACCTGAGGCTCTTCAGCCTGGGGAAGGCTCAGGAGGATCTTATCAATGT